CTGGGACGAACGACCCGCGCCCGAAGCGTGAGCGTGGGCGGGCCAAGCCAAATGGGACCCGTGGGGTCGACTCAGGCTCGAAAGTTCTTCAGGGTATGGCCGCTACATCGGTGGAAAGAGGCAGACCAGCGACTTCCAAAAGTATAAATCAAGAGGCAGTGTTCAGCCATTCATTCATTCCTACGTAAGCCATGCAGAACCGCTGCCTAAGCGGCTTGTACGAGGTGGGCTGTAGAGTGCCCGAAGACGAAGTGGGTTGAAGGAGATAGCTAGCCATAGACATAGAGGGAGAGCGGCCATAGTCGCCATAGCTGATAGGCGAGTATGTGAGTGCGAGAGTGTGTGTATGCGTGTGGGATATCCAGGGTGATCCAGAGTTGAGGGAGTGCGAATAGTGGTGTTGGATAGAGAGACGAGAGTTGGGATGTACATGCGCTGATGCGCCAGAGCCTGCTGAAGCGAGTTTGTATCTGAACTATATTTTCTACGTCCATATCTTTGAGCTTTGAGTGGGCGATGTGCGCCAGTGTGATTCGCCATCTGTTTGTGTGAGTGCAAGACCCTATCTATAGTGACCTTCTCAAGAAAGCTAAGGAGGCCCCAAAGACTGAACCAGACTACCGCACTACAAAGGGATTACTGTTCGAGAAGACCAATGTAGTAGACCGTCTGTGCGTTCCTAGTAGTGAGGAAATTCGTAGCTTAATCCTAGGGGAATGCCACGACACAGAGGGACATTTCGGTTGGCAAAAGACTTTAGCCAATCTGATGCACACGTATACTTGGCCAGGAATGAAAGTCGACTGTCCGCAGTTGCAAAGTTTGTCAAAGAAACAAGAAAACTACGCGTGCCCCTCTAGGTCTTCTTCGACCCTTGCCTATTCCCGACCAGCCTGGAGATTCAGTGTCTATTGATTTCATGGATGCTAGCGTCAAAAGTAGGCATGGAAAGAGCCAAGTCATGGTGATAGTGGATAGATTTAGCAAATATGTTGTTTTTGTTCCCTTACTCGCAGAAGCCCGTACGGAGTTAGTAATTCAAAAGTTTTTTGACTTTTGGGTTAGAGATCGCGGAATCCCATTGTCCATAGTCAGTGATAGGGATACCCAGTTTAAAAGTTAAAAGTGGCAGGAGTTAAAGAGAGTACACGGATCAGAGTTGTTGATGTTGTTTGGCCGTCACCCAGAGACTAACGGTCAGACCGAGCAGATAAATGAAATCCTGCAACAAGTTTTGTTCATGTATATTAGACCAGATCAAGTTAACTGGGACGAGATGTTGCCCAAGGTAGCCAGTGCATATAAGAACAGCGTGCACCTACGCACTTGTCGTACTCCCAATGAGCTGCTTAAGTCCTTCAGACCGCGCAGACCATTTGAAGGGCTTAACCGGGACCAGATTCATAGGCTACCGCCCGGTACTAGGGAGTTTGCAATTCAACACGAGAAAGAACTAGCTACCGTTGTTGAGAACCTTAGGAAGGCCCAGCATAGAATGATAGAACACGCTAACAAGCACCGTCGCCCGTCACAGTTTCAAGTAGGCGACCTAGTCTGGGTCAAGTCTAAGGAGTTTGCTCCTGAGGAAAACATTTCGCAAAAGTTACTGCCAGCATACAGAGGATCGTGGCCAGTTCTAGAAGTTAAGGGTGGAGAGGATGGGCCGTCCTATACGATAGAGATCCGAGCACACTTCCACACCTACCTTGTGTTTCATGCATCAAAGTTGCTCCCATGTGTCACAAGTCAATAGTTTCCATCGAGAAGATCCATGATCCCTCCAGACATGGATGGAATGTATTACATTGAGGGCATTGTAGGTGAAGACGTGTTTAGAACAGGAGGTAGAGGTCGTCCACAGAAACAGTATAAGGTCCAATTTGCTTATCAGGAACCGGAGGACGACCGCTGGTTTACCAGAACTGAACTTCTAGAAACAGCTCCCGACATAGTCCGAGCCTACGAAAGAGATAAGAAGGGTAAAGGTCCTGCCTTGTACCGAGATATTCTCAGAGGACCTCAAATTTAGGCCGGCTGGAGTGAAACGGTTTTCACCTATGCAGTAGCAGATGCAGATGGGGCTCGATCCCTAGACCTCGCTCCCCTGTGTATAGTACCCCTGTGTGTTTAAACCCGTACCCTGTGTCTTAGGAGTCAGTTGTTCTCTGTTGTGGGCCAGTGTAGCCGTCGAGTCTTGAACCGTAGGTCTATCGCGTCGGGGTCAAGTCTGTAGTAGAGGTCGTAACTGCAGTAGTACTGAAAGGTCAAGGTCGTAGCTGCTACAGTCGTGAAAGGTCAAGGTCGTAGCTGCTACAGTTCCGAAAGGCCAGGTCTACGGACTTCCGGAAGGTCCGGAAGTGGCCTTTGGAGAATTTTTACGTTTGGCTAGAGGCAAGTGGGCAAGTGGTGAGTTGTTACATGTTGCGCCTGCAACAGGCTGCACGGGCCATTTTCAGGCCCGTGTTGTTTTCAGACCAAAAGCCTGAAAACAAGGGCCTACAGGCCCCGTGTCATTTCAGCCTGAAAGCCTGCCTACAGGCCCTGTGTCGTTTCAGGCTAAATCAGGGCCTTTCCGGCCCTGAGTGTTTTCAGCCTGAAACTGAGGGCCATTTTCAGGCCCTCATCAGTTCGACCCGCCCTGAAACTCGGGCAGCAGACCCGGGTTTTAGCTCAGGCCATTTTTGGCCTATTTTCAAGACAGCCTTCGTTTGAGCTTCAACCCCAGGGTCTGGCACATTTTGGCATTGGCAAGAGCGGCCTCCTGGACGAGCCAGCACTAAATAAGATTGGCCCGCCCTGCAGGAGGCAGGTAGTTGGGAGGTAGTTCCTAGGTACTTCCCAGGTGAAGTGCAGTTCAGGAGGCAGAAGGCAGTCAGTAGTCTTCAGGATTCAGCAGCAGCACTCTGGAGGAGCGCTGCATGAGTAGTAGTAGCGTTTGCAGTAGTCTTCCGCGTTGGGCGCTAGTAGCGTTAGTTGTAGTCTTCAGCGCTGGGCGCCATAGTAAGAGTAGTAATAGAGAGAGAGAGAGATTGAGCGGATGCCGGGGGGACTTACCTGCAACACTATTGCTCCAGCTTCGTCTTCGAGGTACCTACAGCACAACGCCATCTTCACAGGTTAGTACCTAGCACATGAGAGAGAGAGAGTTCTTCTTCTTCTTCTTCTCAGTCCACCATCTCCCTCTCACCTTCTCGCTACCCGACTTCACTACATCAGCAGACTACGAGAGAAAGAGAGAGCTTGGTGACATTTTGGATCCAGACTCGACATTTGGGCTTCAGACATTTTGACGAGGGATTATTTGGGACTTGAGACAAAGACTTGGTGTTGACGAATTCCCATCTCTCCCCCTCTTCTTTGTATGTTCCCCTCCTCTTCGTCAGTGCATGATCGGGTCCTGGCGCTCTTCTTCCTGTGTATAGCGCCAGGTCTCTTCACACCTTGTGATGAGAATGATGTAGGTTTAGTCTGCGTTGCAACATTGAATGGGCTAGTCACTGATATTCTAGCATTCTGTTACGCTATCTGGCACTACGTGATAAAGGTCAGTCCCGATCAGGTCAGGACTTGTATTTAAGTCTTCCACTGTGCTGAAAAGCACGATTTTTTATGTATCGGAATGCACCTTGATTGTTGAGATTTTACGTACACTGCATTGTCCATTCAATCCTTTTCATCACATTGCGGATCCTCGGTTTATATGTACATCGCCCAACTGGGCATGTAACAGTTGGTATCGGAACACCGCACGTGAATCAGGACAACCTGATGTGACACGTGTGTGGGGACTAGGTAGCTGATTAGTCTTGATTGATTGAGTAGCGCGCACTAGTTAGCCCCCAAAATCACGATTTTGACCTCAGTGCCGAAAATCAAAATTTTTTATCTTTTCTTGGATTTTGTTTTCTCAATATTTATGTTGTGGAAAATCGCAATAGCGCAACATCTGAAATTTCCGTTTTCGTTTTTCTTATGAAAATTCAAAATTTCGTTGTTAGAAAATCTGGAATATCTTTTTTTTCGGAAAATTCGATTTTCTCTTGCAATTTCCCGTATTTGGAAGTTCGGAATATTTTTCTGAAACCCATTCTTTTTTCAAAGCGGTACGGGAAATCCCTCTTGCAGTACCATTTTCCAAACTGCGAATACTCTCACCTGAATAAGTCCGAATACTTGTTATTTCTTTTCGGAATTTTTTTTTTCCGCAGTTCTATGATTTTCACTACATGATAATCATTGGCAGTTTGAAGTTCGAAAATTTTTTCTCATTGATAATTTTGCACTTCAAGGGAGGTGGGAGACCTACTGAACTCACAAAACTCGGGATTTTTATTTTCTCGAAATTCTTTTGCAAAGTTCAAACTTTTCTTTTTTTTATTAGTGGCTCCTTATCTGGGCGATTTATTCCACCCACCCCTCCCCACCTATGTTGTTGCCCCTCTGGTCTTATCTTCTCTATTTGTCGCCGGGTACCCCATGCTGCAACATTGGTGAGTTGCCACGCCAACATACCACATTTGCAGGCCATGTCAGCAGGACACAACAGCCGAACAGTGCCACGTCAGCAACAGTGAGTGCCACGACAACAGTTCTCCAGCCTGATCAATGCTCATGCGCTTACAAACAGCCGACATGGATCAGAAGTCCGGGGAAACGGACGAGGCCTATCAGGCCCGAGCAGAGATCAGCATCGACCGAAAGTGGCCGTGGTCGTGGCGGCAACGCCAACCAACTAATCTAGCGACGCCATGTCTGCCAATGAAGGGGACAAACTCGCAGCCGCCCGGGATGGTGTCCGCCCCAACAAAGGCCGAGGATGCAGCAAGACGAAGACAAACACCACATTTATCCCCGGGCCCGGTGCAGCAGCTTCAGCCCCATGGACCCACTACGGCCAATCGGGAAACTGAGCACCGCCGGGAGTGACTCGACGACACTCTCGACGCCTTCGGAACCGGTCGCTTCACGGGTGACCGCCCTTCGTTCCGAGGCACATGCAGAAGTCGATAGTCCTCCTCTTCTATATTCTTATGAGGACTATGCTGGCCGGCTCGTTCCTACGTTGGGTTCTCATGCTCAAGGACAAGACGTGTGCGCGACATCTTCTCCGTCCGGCAGCGGTGACTTATCGTCTTCAAGTGGTTCTTCACGGGATTCGGCGCGCGAGTTCAACATAGAGGTATTGGACCCGCTCACATCTGAGGATTTCACATGGCTTCCTCTCCCGACCACTGGCCGCTTGCCGGGAGCGCAATGCGCAACACTATGCGCTCATCTTCACACATACTTATCCTTCTATGCACCACCAACTTCGCCGAGGGATGACGGAGTTGCGGTGGGGGACATCCTTGCGTATGTTACCAAGGTGGACCGCGAGTTTTGCACGCAGCGGTACGTTGTCAACAACGCACCGCTCCTTTATGTCCGCATCCAAGTTGGGCAAGCATCCTACAGCGCTTTGCTGGATAGAGGAGCGACTCACAATTTCATGAGCCAAGCCTTTATGCAAAGGACTGGCCTTGGCGCACAAGTTCGGAGGAAGGTAAACCCGACGGCGATCAAGTTGGCGGACGGAAGGACGCAACAACTTATCGACCGTTACTTCGAGGCTGCACTGGGGTATTTCGCACCTCATGCATGCGAACCGGTGACGTTTGACATTTTGGACACGGACTTCGATATCATTTCGGGAATGCCTTGGCTTGCAAGTGCGGATCACACGGTCAACTTCCACCGGCGGACTCTTACCGTTCGGGACGCCTTCGGCGCCGAAGTGCCGTGTGCTATTCCTCTTCCACAGCCTTCGATTCGGTGCCAAGTGCTGACGGCCAAGTCGATTCTTCCCCCACGGGCTTGTCTTCGGACCCCCGTGTGGTGCGGTTGCTTGACGAGTTCACCGACATCTTCCGGTGTGGTGCCGGATCGGCCGACGATCTCTCATGAAATCATTCTGGAGACCGGTCCCGTGCCGCCGAAAGGCTGCATTTACCGCAGCTACGACAACAAACCGACCAAATACTTGGTACACTTTGCATACTGATGCAAGGCAAGCTGGTATCTTCGGCTCCACATCGCATCCGCGACCAGGTTCCACCTTCAGATCGTCAGCTTCGCCCTCGACCCGGCTTGACTTCATAAGCAGGGGGGGGTGTTACATGCTGCGCCTGCAACAGGCTGCACGGGCCATTTTCAGGCCCGTGTTGTTTTCAGACCAAATGCCTGCAAACAAGGGCCTACAGGCCCCGTGTCGTTTCAGCCTGAAAGCCTGAAAACAAGGGCCTACAGGCCCTTTGTCGTTTCAGGCTAAATCAGGGCCTTTCCGGCCCTGAGTGTTTTCAGCCTGAGACTGAGGGCCATTTTCAGGCCCTCATCAGTTCGACCCGCCCTGAAACTCAGGCACCAGACCAGGGTTTTAGCTCAGGCCATTTTTGGCCTATTTTCAAGACAGCCTTTGTTTGAGCTTCAACCCCTGGGTCTGGCATGTTTTGGCATTGGCAAGAGCAGCCTCCTGGACCAGCACTATATAAGACTGGCCCGCCCTGCAGGAGGCAGGTAGTTGGGAGGTAGTTCCTAGGTACTTCCCAAGCACTTCATGTGCAGTTCAGGAGGCAGAAGTCAGTCAGTAGTCTTGAGGATTCGGCAGCAGCACTCTGGAGGAGAGCAGCAGGAGTAGTAGCAGCGTTAGCAGTAGCCTTCAGCGCTGGGCGCTAGTAGCGTTAGCTGTAGTCTTCAGCTTTGAGAGTAGTAATAGAGAGAGAGAGATTGGGCGGAGGCCAGGGGGACGTACCTACAGCGCCATTGCTCCGGCTTCGTCTTCGAGGTATCTGCAGCACAGCGCCATCTTCACAGGTTAGTACCTGGCACATGAGAGAGAGAGTTCTTCTTCTTCCTCTTCTCAGTCCACCATCTCCCTCTCACCCTCTCGCTACCTCACTTCACAGCATCAGCAGACTACGAGAGAAAGAGAGAGCTTGGTGGCAATTTGGATCCAGATTCGACATTTGGGCTTCAGACATTTTGACGAGGGATTATTTGGGACTTGAGACAAAGACTTGGTGTTGATGACATTCCCATCTCTCCCCCTCTTCTTCGTTTGTTCCCTTCCTCTTCGTCTGTGCATGATCAGGGCCTGGCGCTCTTCTTCCTGCGTATAGCGCCAGGTCTCTTCACACCTTGTGATGAGAATGATCTAGGTTTAGTCTGCGTTGCAACATTGAATGGGCTAGTCATTGATATTCTAGCATTCTGCTACTCTATCTGGCACTACGTGATAAAGGTCAGTCCCCGTCAGGTCAGGACTTGTATTTAAGTCTTCCACTGTGTTGAAAAGCACCATTTTGTATGTATCGGAATGCACCTTGCTTGTTGAGATTTCACATACACTTCATTGTCCATTCAGTCCTTTTCATCACATTGCGGATCCTCAGTTCATATGTACATCGCCCAACTGGGCATGTAACATGAGTCCACCCATGCTGAGTCAGCGGTACCCAGTCCCAGTCTCACTGAGTCCAGTCAGCAAGTACCGCGTGGGACTGTGTGCACCATGGGCCCGGTGGAAAGAGGCAGGCTAGCAACTTCCAGAAGTATAAATCAAGAAGCAGCGTCCAACCATTCATTCATTCCTGCATAAGCCATGTGGAAGCACTGCCTGACCGGCTTGTGCGAGGTGGTCTGCAGAGTGCCCGAAGACGAAGTGGGCTGAAGGAGATAGCTAGCCATAGACATAGAGGGAGAGCGGCCATAGCCGTCATAGCTGATAGGCGAGTATGTGAGTGCGAGAGTGTGTGTATGCGTGTGGGATATCCAGGGGTAATTGTTACATGCAGCGCGTGCACACACGGGCCATTTTGCAGGCTCGACTGGATTCAGGCGAAAACCCTGGATTTCAGGCCGAAAGCCTGAAATTCAGGGCTTACAGGCCCCATTTCGGTTCAGGCCGAAAGCCTGACTTTCAGGGCCTACAGCCCCTGCGACGGTTCAGACTAAAATTGGTAATAGCATTTTTAGCCAGAACCCAAGGGCCATTTTCGGTCTTTCATCAGAATGACCGGCCCTGAAACTCAGGCACCGAACCAGGGTTTTGGGAACAGCCTATATTTAGACTATTCCCACGCCTGCCTCAAGCAGGCTGCTGCACACCAGCCCCTGGCACACTTCGGCATTGGCAAGAGCTGCCTCCTCGGCCTGCTCGCCCTCCTGCAGTCAGGAGGCAGGCCGAGGAAGTACTAAGGGACTTCCCAGGCACTTCACGGGTAGGCAACTCGGCAGTTGTAGTCTTCAGGATTCGGGTGCAGCACTCTGGAGGGAGCGCTGCGTTGTAGTAGTGGTAGCGTTAGCTAGTAGTCTTCAGCGCTGGGCGCAGTAGGTAGCTATAGTCTCCAGCGCTGGGCGCCATAGCTAGGTAGTACTAGAGAGAGAGAGAGAGAGAGCTTGGGCGGAGGCCAGAGGTACCTACCTGCAGCGCCGTTGGTCCAGCTTCGTCTTCGAGGTACCTGCAGCACAGCGCCAACATCACAGGTTAGTACTTGGTTC